TGACTGACAGTCAGTGGTGAGAACTGCTGGTGTGACTGACAGTCAGTAGTGAGAACTGCTGGTGTGACTGACTAGTTGATTTCCGATGTTTTCTTGTGTGAAATGGGAACAACACACAGAGTTCAGGATTGTGTGACAAATAGCCAGGCTGATGCTGTCTCTGTGTCACTTGAAGTCCTTTGACACAGGCGTCCTGCTCTGCGTCTGGCCTGTCAACCTCCGTTATTAATGCAGAGTGTGACTTTTGTCCATGTTCCAGGTAACCCGTGAGCATCTGAGCCAGGGGGCCCTGGAGTTCCAGATGAGGGAGCTGATTTACACGGACTCGGATCTTGTGACCACTCCAATTATCGACAACCCCAAGGTGCAGAGAGGGCGCGAACTTGGGAGCAGGGCGGGGGAGGGGAGGTCAGTGTGTTCTCCGCCTCACCATGGCGACAGTCTGCAGCCCTCTGCTGTCTCTTCACTTGCATGTCCCTTGTCTGCTTTTCCTGTGTGCCCGTGTACATGGTGGCTCTCTGCACTGCCTTCACTTGCTCCTGCTCTGCTGGTCACGCCTGTCACATGCCGAGGAGGGCCACTGACCCCCGGACCCCAGCTCTCAGTCCAGCTGTGTTTACAAAGTGAGCCCCACTAGATGCTCAGGTTGTGAGGGTGTGGCTGAGCAGGGTTCGCTGGCTGCTAAGCAGGGCTCGCTGGTTGGGAAGGGCAGGCAGGCCACACAGGTCCAGTCTCTTGCGTGGTGTCGGGACTGCTGGAGGAGACAGTGTGGCCCTGGTCCTGGCTCCTGACGTGCACCCTGCTCCTGTGTCCACAGTGTGCTACTGAGGGTGACAGGGTTCCAGCCCCGCACTCTCGTCCTCTACCTCCCGCTTTCGTTTGTTCTTCCAGCTTTGTTTTTTTGAAAATGTCTTCCCACATTTGTGGTGAGTTCCCCTGCTCTTACATGAAGCGTGCTGACAGCGGCCTTTGTCTTAGATGACCAGCTCCCAGAATGGACTCTTTCCATGACTCAGAGTCTGCCAGAGAGCCCAGATTCTGCTAGGCATGCTGGGTAATGGCTGTTCTAGAGCAGCCTGGGATCCCACGTGTGAGTGAGTTTCTTTACTTCCTTACTTAAGGTTTCTGGGAAACATCAGCAAGCAGGAATTAGTTTTTTAAACCCCCCCCCCCCCACACACACACAAACAGACAGGGTTTCTCTGTGTAGCCCTGGCTATCCTGGAACTTGCTCTGTAGAGCAGGCTGGCCTGCCTCTGCCTCCAGAGTGTTGGGATTAAAGGCGTGTGCCACCACTGTTCAACCTTAAACTATTTTTATCTAAAACATTTTAAGCTATATTTTAAAAACAAGATTTAGAATCAGGGAGAAGATTCAGGGTTCAAGGAGGCCTTGCTTGCTGTTACTTTGCCCGGCCTGAGTCACCTGAGGCCCTCAGGTTGACAGGCTCCCACTAATCTACTGTCTCTGATGTCCTTTGTCACACTTGAGCCTCCTTGTCTCCTACAGTCTGTCCCTGTCTGTCATGGCTGGTGACATTTAGCTTTTCATGATTGTAACACTTTGCTGAGTGATGGTCAGGTGTTCTGTGGAGTGGTTTTAGTTAAAATGTATCTGAGGATTTCTTGTGGCTGGAATAACATGAATTACAGCAGCCGACAGGAGAAGGACTGTCCGTTTATCATTTGTCAAGAGTGTTGTCTGTCTGTAAGGGTTTAAGATGGCAGCATGGAGTTCTGCAGACGTTAGACTTGGGCAATTCAGAGCCCACTGATCCAGACTTCCACAGTCAGCCGTGGATTTCTTCACCACGCCATTTCTCAAATGAAGCCTGTGATAAACTATTATGTGTTAAGGTCTTCTGGAATGGCTCTTCCTCCTCAAATACAGCCAAGTCCTGACGGTCGTTCACACCCCAGTCCGATTTCCACCCCTCCCCCGACCCTGTCCATGCCACGTCATGACCTCAGCCCACCTTCCACTGTTCCCCCGACCCTGGCCACGCCACATCTAGACCTCAGCCCACCTTCCACAGCTGCCACTGCTCCTGTCCACGCCACATCCAGACCTCAGCCCACCTTACAGCTCCCACTGTTCCTGTCCACACCATGTCATGATCTCAGCCCACCTTCCACTGCTCCCACTGCTCCTGTCCACACCACATCAAGACTTTAGTCCGATTTCCACCCCTCCCACTAACCCTATTCATGTTACATCAGCCTAACTACTTGTTTCTTTATTGTTTTTAAGAAATTTCTTTCTATGAACTATCTGTCTACAACTTTTGTCCTGTCTGTTTTGAATTCTTAAATATTAAGAATTTTATTGTTTAACAGATATTTGCCTTGTTTTCCCATTTAGAATTTCAGCTGACAGCAGGGTCACGTGTTTAATGAGTTTGCACCTCCTCAGGGCAGGATCCGGCAGACACACTTCAGATGCCTTGATTTCTAGGGAGAGCAGCTTAGCCAGTTGAGCTCTGTGAGACTGTGTTACTGAAGATGTTAGTTGAAATGGAAAGAAGCCATATGTATTTACATCTTTTTAGTCTTACGTGGCACTGTTGAATTCTTTTTTGTTGCTGGTGCTTAAGATAGGGTCTCACTCAGCAGCCCAGGCTAATCTACTCCCTGGGCTGGGGACACTGGGTGTGCCCCACACCTGGCCTGGATCCTTTTGAGGCCAGTTAAGTTTCCTATCGTTTCTTTTTGACCTTGTTGATCTGTAGCTGCAGAGACAACTATTGAGTTAAAAGGCTTCTCAACAGTGTTTTTCCTGTTATTTTCATAGATAATGAAACAACCTGCCATCAAGTTTGATCCAAAAATCTTGCACCTACCGGCTTATTCTGGTAAGGCCCTCAGGCTCTCAAAACGTTGACATTTGTAAGCAGACACAAGGGAACATTACTTACTGGCAAATGGAGTGCGTGTGTGTGTGTGTGTGTGTGTGTGTGTGTGTGTGTGTGTGTGTGTGTAGAAGATCTAATTGGCTGCCGTCTTATCAATCTTGTCAAGGCTTTGGGCACATCCTGCACAGCAGAAGTCAGCCACAAATGCCTTTGTCAGCTGTTGACTTTCCTCTGGGCCAGCGCCCTCTTGTGGTGGGGAGGCTCCTGGGCGCTGAGCCCATTTTCCTGCGGAGTGGACGGAGAGGCTTCTGCCAGTGAGATGTGTGTCATGCATGGTGCTGTGTGAGTGCCAACAGTCAAACTGGGGACTGTGTTTGAAGGATCAGGACAGTAGAGAGCAGGACTGGGTGGGGGACACTTGTGGGCAGCTTAGCTGCTCCTATGGGGGCATGGCTGAACCCTGTTGGGGCGTGGCTGCCCCTATGGGAGGCACGACTCACCACACCCAGTGGGGATGGTGTCTGAGTAGAGCCTGATAAAAGCTGATGTTTGCTTCCCTTCAGCCCATGAATGTCTTACCTGGAGGGAACCTCAGAAATTTAGATGTACCCAGGTTAATCTTTTTATTGCACCAGTTCTCTGCTGTGCCCTGTGCCCTCTGTGATTGGGGCTAGGTTCACAGTGAACAAAATAGACGCAGACTTAAAGAAACCAACTTAAAAGTTTGTACAGGTCAGGCTGGTCCATGGATGCCAACCAAGAGCGAGCCCCAAGGAGGGCTGTTTTGAAGGACCAACGTGGAGCAGAATTATAGCGTGGCTAGCACAACCCGGGGAGGCACTCAGTCCTTCTGAGAGCCAGAGAATGTTTGTAATTTTTAAAAAGATTTATTTATTATGTATACAGTGTTCTGTCTGCAGGCCAGAAGAGAGCACCAGGTTTCACTTTAGATGGTAATAAGTCACCACTACTGGGAATTGAACTCAGGACCTCTGGAGAAGAAGCCAGTGCTCTTAACCTCTGAGCCATCTCCCCTACATTTGTAACTTTTATAAATGAATCTGTCTATATAGATAGAGCTCAGCCAAAATTGGTGTGTTTAGATGTGAATCCTGTGTTTGTCTTTGGTTTGTTTGGGAAGCTAGAGACTGGAGTCCCAGGTTGTGCCTGCCACCCTACTGACCTGGGTGTGTTTAACAGTAATTCTATTAGGCTTCTAAAAATGTGTGTAGATGTGTGTGGACATCCTGTGTGTGTGGTTACATATGCACAGGTACGGGTGTGACTGCCCACGGATGGCCTCCAGTGTCATCCTTACACATGCTGGCCACCTCTTTTGAGGCAAGGTCCCTCATTGGTCTGGAGCTCACCATTAGGCGAGACTGCCGGCCAGTGGACCCCAGGGAGCCTCCTGTCTTCACTTGCTGAGTGACAGGATTACAGGCGCTACTTTTTTTATGCGGATTCTGGCATCATACTCATGGCCTCATGCTTACAAGGCAGCCGTCTCCCCAGCTCTCTCACATCTAAAGAGATTGTTGTTGTTACTATTATTATTTTGTTTTTGCTTTTATTTTTCAAGACAGGGTTTCTTTGAAACTTTGGGAGCCTGTCCTGGAACTTGCTTTGTAGATTAGGCTAGTCTCGAACTCACAGAGATCTGCCTGCCTCTGCCTCCCAATTGTTAGTTTGGCTGTTCACTGACATAGTTAAGAAGTCTCTCTGGGTGGAGAAGGGCAATCAAGTGGAGTGTCTCCTCAGGGTGGGGGTGGGTGCCTTTGCGGTCGACACTGTCGTGTAGTGTTCTGTCCTCGTGTGCTCTGAGTTCTGGGTTCTTCTGCGTCTCACACGATGTCTGCCCAGCCCTTTCCACGTCCCACACTCTGCCTCTGCTTCCGTCGTTCTGCAGTGGATAAGTTGCTGGTCCTGAAGGACCAGGACTGGAATGCCTTCCTGCAGCAGGTGTGCTCCCAGATGGACTCCAGCGACAAGAGCGCAGGGGCGGCGCGAGCCAAGCTGAACCTCCTGTGCTACCTGTGCGTGGTGGCTGCTCACAAGGATGTGGCCACCAGGCTGCTCCGGTCCCCACTGGTAGGTACTGCGGGGTGGTGCCTCCCAGGGACCACCTGCCTCCTGCGGTTGGCCTGTGTGTTTCAGGGGCGCTAGTGCGAGAGCTTGGGGCCTGGGGTCCAGTAGTGGTGTGGTTCCTTAGCCTGAGCACAGCATGGGTCAATAGGAACAATAAACCACGGGCTGAAGCAGTTCATTGGTTTCTGTGGTGTACTGAGGATCAAACCCAGGGCCTTAGACAGGCGAGGCGAGGGCTCCACCACTGAACCACACCTGGTCCTAGTTTTTATTCTGAGCTACTGTCCAAGTGTCCTGTGCTTATCTTGACTTGAATTCATTCTGTAGCCAGTCGGGTCTTGCACGTATGTTCCTTCTGCCTCAACTTCCCAAGTAGCTGGGATTGTAGGCCTGTGTCATCAGGTTCAGTTGGTTACAATTACAATTTGATTTAATTACAAAGAAAAAAAGGTGATTTATTGATATCGAAGGTTTGTGAAGATTACCCTCAATCACTTCCTTGAAGCAGCTGTGTAGATATTGTCAGACTGTGGCCTTTGTAGTGTTCAGCTTGCCATTTTTGTTAGTGTTGGTTGGGAGCCATTGTACCTGTCTGTGTCCAGGAGGCGGCCCTTCACGCTACTGTGAATGCCAGTGACCTGGGCTCCTGCTCTGGGTCCCCTGGAGAGACACCAGGGCTTCCGATGTACAGAAGGATGTCAGGCCTCAGAGGCCTCGCTTTCTGCTCTCCTGGGGGTAACCCTGGGGTTTGCACAGTTGCGCTTTCTTTTGGGCCCCTAAGGTTGGCCTGAAGAGTTTCAGTTTATTTTGCTCCTAAGTCAGTATGAGGGTTGTGGGTGTCTGTTGGGGGCAGGAAGCCAATTGTTAGGGGTATTAAGTAATAGGACAAATCAAACATCTTGTTCTTATTTTTTAAAGACTTTTTTGTTATGTTTGTGTGTGTGTGTGTGTGTGTGTGTGTGTGTGTATGTGTGTGTGTGTGTGTACACCAGGTGCTCTTGGGACCAGAAGAGCGTGTCAGGTCTCCTGGAGCCACTGTGTGGATACTGGGAATTGAACATGGGTTCTTTGAAGGAGAACATGCTTTTCAACTGCTGAGCCCTGTCTCCAGTGCCCTGGTCTTAGTGTTGGTTTATGTTTCTTGCTGGCACTGTGGCTGCGTTTGTGTGTCTGTTGTCTATCTGTAGTTGCCTCCCTGGGGTGGTTCCCATCTAGCTGTATAGATTTCCCTGTTAATTCAGATACTGCTTTGGATGCCCTGATGAATAAAACTTACATTTCGATGTTTCTCTTTTTCTAATTCTAGTTCCAGTTGCTAATCCAGCATTTGCGAATAGCTCCAAACTGGGATATGTAAGTAATATTCGTATTTTAAAACCTATTCTTGGGAGTTTTATAGTTGCTCCCATGAGCACAGTCTGGTCATCCTAAGAGAACCTGAGGCAATCCTGAGTCGCTCACAGATGAGCGAGGAGAGGTGTGGAAGTGGCTGCTGCTTTGTTTTCTCAGTCCGGAGCCGGACACCCTGTGTTATCGGCCATCACTTTTCTGGCCCCGCCTTTTGACTGTGCTGCTTCTGTCTCTCCCTTTCCTTCCTGGGCAGGAGCTTCCCCACGGTGTCATGGAAACCAGGGGACTGTTCTACAGAGTGCTCTCTCTCTGTGGATGGTGCAGGCTCTGGCTCTCCTTGCTGGTGGGACATGGTCACACGATGGGCTGTTCTGAGGAGTTTATGTAGGGTACAGAAGTGTGTGGTGGGGACCCCAGATCTGCCCCTGCGCAGATCACAGTTCCTGCTGAGCCTCGCTGTGGGGGTTGTGTTACCCACTCAGTACATCCTTGGCCACATGCGTGAGGCCAGAAGACGGAGCTGCTGCTTCTGAGTCTGGTCCACATTGGGGGTGTTGTGATTATCTGGTCGCTGGCACCTTGGAGACTCTCAGAAAGGAATGCGTGGCTGCTGTGGCCGGCAGAGGTGCGAGGGTGGTTGGTTACTCCTCCATGCTGGTGAAATATGTGGGCAACCATGAGAGTTTGCAAAAGGCTTTGAAGGAAAATTTTTCTTGTATCCCAGCCGCCGCTGTTCTCCTTGGAACTGGGATGCTGGGTAATAGCTGAGCGTTCTGCAGCCATGGAAAGGCTGCCCTTAGGCAGATATCAGTTTTTTTTTTTAGTCTGGAGCGCCCCCTGCTGAACAGAAAATGGTTCAGGTCTTTCCAAGCACTGTTTAAAAACCTTTTTTTTTTTTTACTATTTAAATTGAATTTCATTTACTAAAAAAAGTGTGTTTTAATTGTTTGTTTTTTATTTTTTTATTTTTTGAGACAGGGTCTTACTATGTATCCCAGGCTGACCTTGAACTCCTAGCGTTATGTCTTCCTGAGTGCTGGGGTTAGAGGTGTGTGCCACTTTGCCCAGCCACGGGAGTTTTGATTGGATGAAGCTGAGGCTGGACAGTGGGCAGCCCTCCGCTGGGCCTTCTTGTTCTCTCTCATGTGCCGCTTTCAGTTTTCCAAGTTTGTCCTACATAGAGGAACACAGACTTAGCCAGGCATGGTGTGACTTTATGTGTCTGTCCTCCCCACAACACACATGTTTTTAATGTTCTTGACAACCTGAGACCATTTCCTGTCGTCCTGCCTCTGCCCCCATAGTTCTGGGGTACAGGTGTGCACACCACCGCATCTGGCGTTGTCATCTGTGGGTCAGAAGGGTTTCTCCTCCACTTCCAACCTTTCAGTTTACGGTTGTCACAGGTAAGTGAGCCTGTCTTTCATCCCAGCAGGCTCCTGAGGGGTCTGTGCCTAGTCAGCTCTCATCAAGGAGAGGGGGTTTCTTGTACGTTTTCATCTATGGGACTTACTTGATTGTGGTTTACAGCTTTTGGCATTTGATGTATAAGACACTCAGAAGTAGCCGGCACGGCAGTGATCTACAGTCTGCAGTCCTCAGGAAGCTGAGGGGGAGAATCGGGGGTTCAAGGACATCCTGGGGGCCATGTGATGAGATCTCAGCTCGGAGAATCAGCAAGAGTTGAGGCCTGTCAGGGCCGGCTCTGCTGTGGGAGGTGGACACAGACTGCCCTGGCTGCATGTCTGAGTCCTGCAAAGCCTTGCCTAAGAAACCAAAACACAAGGAGTGTGGATCTTAACTCTTCACCATGTCAGTTTTCAAGGAGAGAAAGGTTTAAAATTTATTATTCTTTCACAATTTCATGCATATGCGGTGCCCTTTGATGACATCTCGGCCCTTATCCTTTCTCGTATCCCTGCTTTCCAGGGCACCCCTTCCCTCCATGTCCATGATCGACAGATCACTTCTTAAGTATTTTTAATTTTTTGTTCATTTGTTTACTTACTTATCTGTTCAGCCTACCTCATTTATTTATTTACTTTTTTTTAAAAGATTTATTTATTATGTATACAACATTCCTTCCATGTGTGCCTGCAGGCCAGAAGAGGGCACCAGTTCTCATACAGATGGCTGTGAGCCACCACGTGGTTGCTGGGAATTGAACTCAGGACCTCTGGAAGAGCAGCCAGTGCTCTTAACCTCTGAGCCATCTCTCCAGCCCTCTCCCCCCAGTGATTTTTTTTTTCTAATCAACATGACTTTTCTACATTACTGTTTTCAAATCTCCCTGCTTAGTACTTTATCAATGTCCTTTCCTGTGGGACACCAGAAGCCACCTCCTTGAAACCAGTGTTTATGACAAAAGAAGAAAAGAGGCCGGGGCGGTGCTGCGGTTAGGAGCCAGCAGCTTTCACAGAAGACCGGTCCCAGGGGACCAGAGGCCCCCTTCTGGCCTCCATGGGCACTGCATGCACATGGTACACATACGTGCTACTTACAGCAAAACACGATTACATATAAAATAAAAATAAAGGGGAAAATTAAGCAAAACAGAAAAGTGCTCATGACCTTCTAATTGTAAGGTTTTCCATCTCTATGCTTTGTAAGCTACAAACTGTCTAAACGTTGACACTGCCACTCACATTCCCTGTGTGTGTGATAAGGAGTGGTTATGTGTTTGCTCCAGTGCACACATGGAGGTCAGAGGACCCCCTTCAGGGCTGGTTCTCTCCTCCTACCATGTGGGTTCCAGGATTGAACTCAGGCCATCAGACTTGGTGGCAAGCTCCAGTACCCACTGAGCCCTCTTGTCGGCCCCACTTGCCCGTCATACGGTGGCTAGCAGTAGTGACTGGTGTCCGACCACACTTCAGAGCCTGTGTTTTCTCTCTCTCTCCAGACGGTCCAAGGTTGCTCGCGTGATCGGCTTGCTGGCCTTACACACCACAGAACTTCAGGAAAACACGCCGGTTGTCGAGGTGATGTCTTTCTTTATGACGTTATGTGTGGCAGAGAAGATCGCTTTTGGTTTTGCGGTTTATAGCACGCAGCTTTCATTGACTTTCATTTCATTTTAATTTGAGGAACTGCGGTTGTTGTAAGGCACCGACCTTGGGGTCCTCCCAGCCCTGGGCTCTAACCCACAGTTCAGCCTCATGGAGAATTCGGCCTCTGGTTGGACGCAGAGGCCGCGGGATGGTTGAGAGCACAGCTCACATTTAAGTCAGTTTCTTCTGGGTTTTCACCCTGAATTTGGTATTTCCCCTTGTCCCAGGACAGCGGCTCTCTGACAGGTGAGCCCAGGGTTTGAGGGTCCCTTATGTACTGAGGACATTTGGAACCAGGGTTGTGCTGGGGATCTCCCCTAGGGCCCAAACTGAGCGCTGATATTAGACAGGGTTTTGGCAGGTGTGGTGGTGCACATGTTAATCCTAGTAGAGGCAGACCTGGTCTACATAGGCGTTCCAACTCAGCCAAGACCCTGTCTCAAACAATTGAAAGAGGAAAAAAAAACAAACCAAAAACGTATGTGACTCTGGATCTGTGTGGAAACAGTTGCCATTGTTTCTACACCAGTTCGGCAGAGTTGATGGCTCCCTTCTGTCTCTTCTGCGGATTGGCAGTGATCTTTGTCCTCAAGAGTCAAGTAGCTGAACATCACCATGGTCTTCAAGGCTAAAGACTGGAACTTGGGGTTGGTGGAACATTTGTAGGGCAGAAACCGGGATGTGGTGTTGAAGCTGCAAGGGGGATCATTCAGTCAGGAGGACTTCCTGTAGTGATGGGTCACCCAATGAGAGGCTGAGGGCTGTGAAGGAATGAGTGGGCCCCACGGGATGAACAACTCCTGTGAGGAGCCAGCAGTGGAGAAGCTCAAGAGCCAGGATGTGAGCGTAGGTAAAACCGGCTGTGGGGACTGGTGGACGGCACAGCCAGTGAGCTGTCCAGGGCTACACTGCAGAGACTTGTTGTGGAGTTTGTCTGGGACTCAGGATTTGATTCCAAATGAGAGAGGAGATCCTAGGGGGCTCATGAACCATGAAATCATGGGTGTGGCTTCTGACTAATGAGATCCATCTGCTAAAATGCTGGAGAAGGTTCAGTGAGAGGGTGGGGACGTTGGTGAACTGCATCATATTATCACTGGGGAAACTGGGTGTCCAGGATGGGCGGACTGAGTAAGAGTCGAGAGGGCAGTGCTGAACTGGCTTGTACGTATCCGACTGGGCTGCCTCGGAGTGGCTGGCCACACTCTGGAGAAGCTGAGAGCCCGGCAGCTTCTTCCGCGCAGGCTGGAGGTCCCATCAGTCCTGGTCTGGTGCTGAGGGCCTGGAGGATTCCTGCAGAGACACCCGTCTTCAGCCCTCTTTAGAAGGCCGAAGAAACTGGAGTCTGATGCCAGCTCAGGATGGCGACAGCAGTGACAGGGTAGATGAACCGGCCAGATGTGGAGCAGGCAGGCAAAGCACAGTGCTTTTCTGAGGACCTCCTCAGGTCTGGGCTTTCTGGGAAGGTGCTGTGTGCCTTCCTATGGGTGACCTGACCGAGACAGCCCTTCCAGGCCTGCCCAGGGCTTGTCCCAACTGCCTGCAGCTCCAGTTAAGTTGACCAGACTAGCCGTCACTCACCCAGACACACGCATGCAGGCTTGTTTCTCGTTACTCTTTGATGCCCTTGACAGATTTCCAAATTACTGTGATAGCATCTGAAAGCAGCAGAAGCTAGCAGTATGAATTCTGTGTTTAATGTTCACAATGCTGAATCATCATAGACCTGCAAACGGAAGCCAGAATGACATGTCACGTAGTCCCCCTGTCAAAACTCCAAACTCCACATAAATGTTGGAAGGCACGGGGAACAGTGACTTTCCCAGGCTGTGGGTGGGAATGTGAATGAGCATGGTGGTTCCGGAAAACCCGCTGTGTCTCCCAGAGCCCTGTTTGTTATCTTGTGACTCAGTGCTGCGTGACGTGTGGAGGGATGTGTATCTGTGTGCTACCTGTACCAACCCCACATCTAATAGAGTAGACGGAGTGTGGCTTGCTCTCTCCATAAGGCACCAGCAGCACTAACAATAATGAACTGCAGCTCTGGGCTGGAGTGAAACTCGTGGTTGGCGCTCGTCGTGGACGTGAGCGGGACATGCCATGAAGTGACCATGAGGAGGTATTGAGAGGTGCCCAGGGCTGTGGCTGCTCTTGTCCTCAGGGCCAGCTCCCCTGGAGATCTTGTTTTAGGGTTCCATCAGGGACTCAGCTGTTCACATGCTCGCCCAAATCCCAGTCCTCCTCGAGGAGCACATGGCTTCAGGAGGACACACAGAGTCATGAGGGAGGACGGGGCATCACCTCTTCACATCCCCGTTCCCGACGAGGGCGGCCTCATGGCATGACTGGGGAAGCTGGGCAGAGGTCAGCCCTGAAGCTGAGAAGCTTCCTCCATTCCCATGGAGTCTCGTGCCAAGGACTCCCTGTGCCATTGGCTGACAGATGGTCCTCACTGAAGGAATCCTATGGAGTCACCTGGGACCTGCCAGTCACCCTAGCGACGGGCTCGCCTCTCTCTTTCCTCCACACCTGTGCTTGCTCTTGCTGTTGCCAATGGAGAGCCCGTGCCCATCACTTCCTGGGTCACTCTGTCGCCAGGCTGTCTCAGGCCACTTCCGTGAGGTTCTGTCTCTGTCCTTTGCAGTCTCCCTTCCCAGCTTGTGCTTGTGTTTTATTGGCTGAGTTGCAGGGACGTGGAAAACACCCTCTTGTTTCTTTCTCACTTCCTGCTTCTCAGCCTCACCCATGATTTGTTTTATTATTGTGTGTAGTGTGTGTGTGTGTGTGTGTGTGTGTGTGTGTGTGTGTGTGTGTGTGTATCCGTGCACACCATCACTCCTCCACCTGTCCTTGCAGACAGGGTCTCACTGACGGTCTGGACCGGCTGGCCAGGAGCTTGGGGATTTGTCCCCACCCACGCCTGCTTTCATACCCTCAGTACTCGGGTCACAGATGTGCACGACCATGTTTGACTTTATGTCAGTACTGTGGGTCAGAGCTCAGGTCCACACCCTAACTGAGCCTCCTCCCCAGCTCCCATGTTTCACAACTTCAATAGGATATTCTATTTGGCAGAAATTGAAAATACTGTCTTCAGTTCCAAATGTGTTATCGGGTAAGGAAGCACTCTTTCTGTGTCTGGTCACTGGGACACACTGAGACAACGCCACAGCCTGGAAACATCAGGTGCCGGCCGCCAGCTGGTTACCAAGCTCAGGGGCCCTGACCCGCTGTGGCACCGCAAGATGAAAATCTGTGTTTTGCTAATCAGCCATCCGTGGGGAGAGACAGGCTTGGCTTTTTGGCTACGGCCCTGGATTCCACAGGAAGAAAGAGTGTATGTTTAGCTGTTGGGTGGACAGTTTTGAAGTAAACACACACATAGTGAACTAAGTTTTGTTGAATAATGGGGAATTTACACAGTGTGTTGAAACAGCTCTAGGTACACATTTCTGGTAGTGTGCGTGTGTGTTTTCCCAGATAGGGTTTCTTTGTATAACGGCCCTGGCAGTCCTAGAACTAGCTCTTGTAGACTAGGCTGGCCTCAAACTCACAGAGATCCACCTGTCTCTGCCTCCCGAGTGCTGGGATTAAAGGCGTGCAAATTACACCCGACTGTATTCTATATTTATAATTTATATAATTTTTCCTTTTTTGCACTTTAAAATACTTTTTTGTAAGTAGTCGGCTGTATTAATTCCAGAAGCCGCCAGGGGGCAGCCAAGCACTGGGGAAAATGTAGTGCGTGCCTGTTTGTCTTTAATCTGGAGTCTGCTCTGGGGGATTAGCAGGCACAGGTACTGGTTACATTTTACAGTGTTTAGACATTTCCGCTCAGAATCTGGCAGTTGTGTTGATTGCTTTCCGTTTGAGGGTTACCAAGATTGGCGTAATCCCGAGCAGACTTGGCTGCCGGTGTGTGACTTCCAGAGGTGCCATCGGTGGGCCTCGGGTCAGAACTCCTGAGGTCTGGTCTGTGTGAAACTCACTCTGACCCGCTCGCTCGGCTTCCTCCGGCCTCATCACTCTACAGAAGGGCGCTGGCCAAGGCTAAGCCTTCTTCTTTGGCTCTGTCACCGAATTCTCTCTGAAGAGTAGAGCTGTTTAGCGTGCTGACCAGTCTGGAGCCCATTACTGTTCCTGTTAAGAGCTCTCAGGATGAGCCCTCGTGTGTGGTCCGTGTGTTTGGTCTCTGGAAGGCAGTAGATGCTTTAGGATGCTGAACATAGGCCTGTAAGCCCGAGAACCGGTGGCGCAGGTTAACCCTTTCATGGACGTTTTCTTACTCCGGAAAATTTCAAAACATAAAAGTAAAGTGTGCAGTAAACTGAGGCAGCTCTCCGTGCCTTTGAGCACTTGGTCGTCCTCCGTCTCCCCGTTTCTTTCTCCTCTCCTTTTTCCTTTCTTCTTCTCACTCGCTTTCTTTCTGAGTCATTTTTAAAGAAAATAATTTCAGTTTACTCGTAGTTACGATTCATATGACTGGATTTTTGTTTATGCATATTTGTGTGTCTCTGTGTGAGTACAGACAGATGTCCTGGAGGCTAGACGAGGGTCCTGGATCTTCTGAAGCTGGGATTGCTGGGTGCTGGGAACACACTCGAGGCTCTGCAGGAGCTGCGGGTGAGCTTCAGTTCTGAGCCGTTCTCCCAGGCCGCGCTTGGGTCCCTAGCCGTCACTTTATGCAGCTTCTGGGGCTGGGGCTGGAGTGGTGTGCGCCACACTTTTGGGGACACCTGCATTTCCTATTGACACTAGAACCTGGTTTCCTCTATGGTTTTTCTTTGCAGCATTTATTATTGTAAATATTCTAATTATAAAAGTGTGTTTTTCTATTTATGGCAGTGTAGTTATATAAACCTTCTAACAACCCCCTCCCCAGCAAACAAGGAGGAGACATTGAAAGACAGGGTAGAATGTGGCCTGGAGGT